GAGGGTGGTGAGAGGTGAGGGGGGTGAGGGGGGTGGGGGTGGCTCATTGGATATGTCATTCTGATATAGGTTTAGGTTAGTTTAGTTTTAGTAAGAGTTCTACTGCACTAGTAATACAGTTAGGACAAATTAGTGCCGACGATTAGAGGTGTTACTACGTGGAGAGAAAAAACCCCCACAGAGAAAAGACACACTCTTGGTTTCAGGTTTTCTATTTCGTGAAGCTTTATATATATATACCCATACTACTTTATCCTCAATCGCGCCCAGTAGTACAAGGTGCAGAGCAATAAATCGTTATAAAAGGGAAGATAGATAGATAGATAGATAGATAGATAGATAGAGAGAGAGAGAGAGAGAGAGAGAGAGAGAGAGAGAGAGAGAGAGGGGGAGAGAGAGGGGGATGACTGTCTTGGGAAGTCTTGGGCCAGTGCAAAAGTGCGAAAGTGCTAAGAGGAAGTGATGGGGTGGGGTTTGCCACCAGAGGATGGGGTGGGGGTTGCCACCAGGGGAGAAGAGGAAGAGGAACTCACTTTGTGTGCCGGGGCCAAGCTGAATGTTGCATGAGGTTCTCACGCTCCACAGAGCCTCAGAGTGATCGCCCTGCTGGCCCCGGGAGCTCTGGACATTGGCGTCACGACGCGGTGGAATCAGGCGCTCGTCAAGTTTTGGGCATATGGAGTTATTGGTATCTTCTTAAATCTTGTTCATTTTTCTTGGTTTCGGTGAAAAGTCCATTTATCTTCAATAGAAGTCGAGTTATGTTGAATTGAAGCAGGTGAGGTCACTTGGTTTCCAAAGTAAAATTAGAGAAAAATGGCCGCCAAAGCTTGAGAGTCATTGGAAAATGTTAATTTACGTTTTTGTGCCTTTATTCAGCAATTTTAAGTAAAAAGCCACTCAGCAATGTGTTTTAATGGGCATAAAAGGTGCTGAGCAAAATACATTAAAAAATCCATTAAAATTGCCATACGGGAAGAAAAATGGCGTTTTCTTCTATTTGATTATTTTGACGAGCGCCATATTTCGCCACGGTGCCTCAGTGTGTTGTTACTGGTTTTTCTGCTTCTTTTGTGGTCGGTCGTTTGTTCACAAGGACACCAACTCTGATGGGTGTGGTGACGCTTACACGGACGAATATTATACGTATTTGTATACAGATATAATGCACACTCACACACACACACACACACACACACACACACACACACACACATACTCACATTCATACACGTACATGATGTGAGTGGCCGGCGGGTGCTCTGGTGTGGTTTGCTCCTTCTTTCCTGCCAAACATCTATCGCCCTTATCTCTCCTGCTTTTTTGTGTATGTTACTCTCTTGCAACACCTATTCTTCGGCATTTATATGACCTTAATGTGCTGCAAGTGCCGGAAAACTCTTACTAAAACAATACACGCATATGCATACCTACATGCCCATAGAGAGGGAGGGGGAAGGAAACACTCACTCACTCACTCACTCACTCACTCACTCACTCACTCACTCACTCACTCACTCACACAAACATACCATCAGTGTTCCAGTATTTCCAGGTATTGTCTTTGGAAACTGAGACCATCCTGGGAATATCCAAAGCAAAAGAAAACATGATCTCTTACATATATATATACAGAATACAATTGTAAACAATACTGAAATATTAATAACATAATCTCTACTCTGTGATACAGATTTCCTTAGTTTGTTTTGAGTAAAGAGGAGCATATAGACACGACACAGTAAAGGTCTTTCAGTGCAGAAGGTAGAAAAAGCAGACGGAACAAATAGAAACAGAACCTAGCGCCGGTGCCTTCAGATCGATGAAACCTCTCACCAAGCAGATTTAAGGTGTATTAAAATATCCTTGTTATGTCAAGGGTGCATAAAAGGAGAGAGGAGATACATGACAGATAATGTTCTTATGAGTCAGCCCCTTAGGCCTACCACTCTTACACAAAGTCCTTTCAGCATAAAACCATCATAATTATCTCCGCACTGCTGCTTTAATAAAAATAACAACTAAAAAAATTATTTCCATGCCCTAACCAAGTTTGCCTTTTTCTCTTACTTTTTTTCTTCACATTCCTACTAAAGAATATTCAATTCAAAGACCTTTCAAAATACCAGTATCTTATAGATCTATATTTAAATTTACTGGTCCAACTACAATGGTCAGAAGATCGAGCTGTACTGTAACGTATCGGAAACCCCTGTGACATGCCCTGGCCATCTCGTACATTCCCAGTCTTAACCAGGGTTAAAAATAAACTCTTTACCCTCCATACCTTCTTGAATCGTTGTTAAAATCAAAACTGTAGACAGAAGCAGTGTGACCTTTCAGTTCAAATGCTCTCTTGACCTCTTTGAAGTTTCCCGTCTTGTCAAAAACAACTTCCCAAACTTTGACGTCTGGAGTAAATCCTGAGGGAGAGAACATGTTGATATAGGGTCATCTAGAGAAGACATTCAGGGAAGTCAGGTTGAATAAAAATCTGTCGGATTTTCTTCAGTTTAGCTAATAGCTGAGTTTTTGGTGCAGAGAGGTTGCTCAAATAAAATTAAAAAAATATTGGGATTTTATTTTTTTTCGGTTTACCGGTGTTTTCATATTAATGCTTTATCAACTTGGGTAGAACCCATAGGATCCACATCAGGTTATGCAACAACCTCTGAAAAGCGCGCTCATATGACCTTAGGCAGTTGCGAGCGCCGTAAAACCCCATACTAAACTAAAACTAAACCTCTGAAATATAAATACACAATTTTAAAATTCTGAACCCTTACCTGAAGACGCAACAAATCGTCCACAGGGTGACACTTTTCCACAAGAGTTGTTCATTTGGTGAGTATCAATGGTGGCCAAGACTTCACCTGTTGAGCAACAAGCACAATAACATTTGACTTTGAGTTTGTGGTTTAAATTGATATAAGATAAACTTTATTGATTCATGAAGGAAATCTTGGGAGTAAAGTGAAGCACACTGACACAAAAATAGCCATTTTGCACAGAGAAAAAGCAAGACAAACAGATAGAAACATCAGAGGGAAAGAAAAGAAATTGGAATTACTAGTGGTGTTCTCCAAAAGAACGCATGCCAATGCAACTGATATTTTTTTAAATAGGAAGACGGACAAAAATTACAGAAGCTATTTTCATATATAAATGCATAAACACCATGGGGAGTATAAAAAAATAAGACTTAGACCAGAACTACATCATTGGGCTCTCATGGATGCCACAAACCTGTGGATCTTAGTTGAAAGACAATGTATAAGTATAAGATATGTGTAGTTAATATTTGTTAACACTGCTGACACAAGTGACAATGAGATGAATGGGTCCGTGAGTGAAATGCAATGCCAAAAGACCTATGTTATCTTTCCATCAGGACATGAAGCCCGTAAATGGTTAATTCACACTTTCAACCTTGACCTAAGATATTTGAGACATAGGAATTTTGCTGATGAAATTAAGCACTACTCTAAACTTTTTAAGGTCAATTTAAAAATAACTTTCAGTGACAATCCCTTTTCAACCTTGTGTGAAAATTCTAGTCAGTGTAACTATCATTCATACAAGCTGACTCACTTCCTCAGCTACCTTCACAGTGCAATCAGTCACTCTGAACACATAAAATAAATTGTTAATGGTTTATGCTCCATTGACACAATTGAGAAGACCCACATTTCAATGCCAGGGTCAACCACAGCAGAGTGAGAGCCAGCGACCTAGAAGAAAAGTGGAGATCATACTTGATAAAAAAAAACTTCCTCACTCAGGAACTAATCTTGCAACTTCTGCAAGCTAGTCAGTCAGTCCCTTTAAACTGCAGTCAGTCTGTATGGTCCTTAATACAACATACCTACTAAAGACTCGTTTTTTATCATAAGGGTTAAATGGACACAATGTGTATTTGTAAATATGGCAGTACTACACTGTGACATGGACATCTGCTGACAATGATAAACTGTTAAAAGATGACGATAAACTGTTAAAAGATGATTAAAAACTATCTTGCCATGCATAGGTGAAAAAACAAAAAAATCTGAGAGTATGAGAGTACCTTTCAAATCCCAGACGAGGATGGTAGTATCCCCACTGCAGGTCATGATGAAACGTCCAGTGGAAGAAATTCCTACGCCAATAATGTCCCTGTCTTGTTTCTGAAAAGGATCAGTTTTGTACCCATATTATCTTACTCAAAGTCTGGAGCTTTTACCCACACCAAAATCTCAAGCCTGACAAAATTAGATTGTCTTAATGCAAAGCTTGTACACCAGCAATATGTAAAAGAAAACTTCCACATTCAGGATACCATGTGCACATTATATAAAACTTTGTCTCACAGCATTACCAAAGACCCTGAGTCTTATAAATACTCCGCGGTGCAGTCCAGCAGCTCTAAAAACAGGCACAGCACAGTACCAGTTCAAACTCATGTTAACTTATAAACACACACAAAAAAGATTCAAAATCCAGGTGAGTCAAAAAAATAAAAGAACACCACAAAACGAAAAGTAAAGAAAAGATGTTTACCTTTGGAAAAGTAACAGCAGCACTGATTGCAACGTTATTTGAACCGTCATCTTTTTTGCCAAGTCGGAATATTCTCACCGCATTTTCGTTAGCTAAGCTTGTGATAAACGCCCTGAAAGAGTGGAAACGAAATCATGGAATTGAAACACAGGCTGCAAACATTGGTGTCACTTCCACAACAACAAAGAGATAATTGAAGCATTTATATTCTTTTTAAATCTGAAAACCTAGTGTCACCGCCACAAGTGGGTGTCTTTTCAGGGGAAGGGGGTTCATGAGGCACGCTCCCCATTTCGGTTCTTTTAAAAAAAAAACAATATTAGGTTCACAACTAACCTCATTCTCTTGTGCATTTATGTTAAAAATTGTTATGTGATCTTTCAAACATTGCAAGTGCATACGCACAGCAAGATAATTTTTCGCCATTACTTCAATTTTATCTCTGAAAATGAACCCATCTTTGTTTATTTTCCTTATTTATTTGCACTTAGTATAAAGTCACTCTGAGCATCTTTTGCTAACAGAGACATTTCAATCGGAACCTGTTTTTTGATGTAAAATTGATAACAAACTATTTTTCTTCCTCCAATTTTCACAATTTTTTGTAAGCCAAATTGAGTAAGACTAGGCAGCATTGCTCTTATCTCACACTTATCTAAAAGTCAACATCTACACCAACCTATGGCAGTCTTATTCGATATTCGCTGACAATATTTTATGACTTTCTAAACAGGCATCTACATGTACTTCAATGCGTTTTCACACAAATACATTAGACATCTTAAATATTTACAACATCTTAAATATTTTCCCAGGAGAATTCCAAATCAGTTTTGATATCCAATGCATTCAATATGAAAGTATAAGCATTATATTTGACTATTTGCATGACAAATTTCTCTAGGAAAACCACAAGAAGGATTAAGAATTTGTATAAAAAAATCAAACAAACTTACTTCGAGTCTGGGCTGAAAGCAACATGAGTGGCAGAGTCCAGATCTACATTGCCTCTAATGTACCTGTAATAGATGGAACAGTAAACAGTTGCAGATGAAGCAGTTTATAACAAAATGTATCAAATTTCTTAAAAATCATACCCGGCCAAATGTTTAAGTCCTTAAAGCAATCTTTCTGCTAGAAATAACTTTAAATATATATTTTACAACTCACTTCATTCCTGGCAAAAAAAAAAGTTTTAAAAACAGTAGATGTTTAGTAAATTAGTTTAATTTTTTAAGCTTAAAATTCAGTCTATTCCTGACTGGTGAAAAGAACAATAGACTAACAAACTTAAGCATCAACAACTTTTTTCACATGTTCACTGACAAGCTCCTGTGTAACCTCAGCAGTCGGAATTTCATAAATATAACAATTTTGTTTAAATAATTATTCTACACAGGGAATAGTAACAAGAAATGTTTTCTTCGGAAAACTTTATACCCAGCGCACATTGCTAATCGAATTCAGTCAAACTGATTTTACTCAAAGCAGTGGCAAAGCTACCAACTGGGCACAATATTATTTATGATCAATTTGATTCACGACCTTGAAAGCAAACACATTTCATTTTGAGGGTCGAAATCAAATTTAATTGAATTCAGTCGACTTGTGCTAGAAAGGAAGCTTTTGCCCCTCTGTGGAGAAAAATATGACTGGCCCCACTTGACTAAATGAAATCAATTTGAAAAGTGCACTTCATATTAATCAGCGCAAATCCTGAAATAAACCTCTTCTTGACTATCATCTGACTCGATGCAAGGTAATCCCAAGCGGTCCCCAGCCTTTCACTTACTTGTGATCTCTTTGTTGAAACTCTTTCACACTCCACAACATCAGGGCCCTGTCTGAAATGAGCAGAGATCATTTTTATAATCAACAGAATAAAGCAAGTGAAATACAATACAAGAGAATCATGATATTCAAGTAAGTTGACATGTATGAATGAAAGCAATACAATTCTTAAAATGCTTTTAGACCATGCTCTTATTCTAACAATAAGCATGATATGATCCAAAAGTCTAAGTTTTCCTTCCCTTGCACTGAACTTATACTTGGGGCTAGAATTCCAACATACAAAAGACATAAAAAGATGTTAAGAAATTTGAACAGTTCCCAGAAAGTGGCTCCCCTTGAGAGAAAACTCTATGGCAGTCTTTCAGAGTTGAAGCGAACTACACAGTTTGTACGCGACATCCATCGGACTGACTGTCTAGCTGCTGTCATCGAGAACGAGGAGGAGAGAGAGAGAGAGAGAGAGAGAGAGGAACAGTTCCCACTTACCTTCTGAGGTAGAGATAAGATATTTTCCGTTTGGACTGAAGTCTAAGCCAACAATTCTGCCACTGTGTCCCTTCAATGTGCCTGCAAGCCAGGGATGAGAAAATGCAGCTTGGGCTACCTTCTTGACATTCTTTGGTGCAGACTTTTGTTGCTTTTTGTTATTTGTTTTTTCAGTTGGGCTGCCCTCAGCAACATCATTTGCTTGGCTATCTGAAATAAAGGAAGGAGCGGGTTAGGAATTTATCAAAAGATTACACAAATTAGATCTAATAAAAAAAAAAGCAACCCCAAACACGGCGAGACTCAACAGTTACTGGCGAGGAAAACCCAAGAATCTCAGGGGAAACCCTGGAAAACAACAAAAATAGATGGCGGAAAGTCATCCCTTTGGGCTTGGGCCATTCACAGATGTGCTAGATCAGATACCAGTGAACTCGTCACATGGTGAAGTCGTCACATACCTCCAGTTATCTCGTCACAGAGGTTGAGGCAAATTCGGGCAAATAAAGCTGGGCACTATTTCTCCGAACACTCTCAAATCACATCCTTTCCTGCAAATTTCGGATATATATATATATATATATAATTATATCATAGGCCTACCAAAGATTGTTCGTATACAATACAATATGGTTCAATCAGTCCCAAAAATGTCCGCAGTAAATATTTATATAAAGAAATGATACAGTTCCAAACAGTTTTTCGCTACAGATATAATGACGTGTTGCCTATGAAGGATGCTGCTCTTAAACTTAATGTGTTGTGTTCACTCGTGTGCTGTCTAGAGATCTAGATCTATGGAGGGCTATTGATAACGACACATAGAACTAGCATCTGCGTTTGTCGCGGCCGTGACCAATCAATAGGGGCTAGATTTTTTGGCATTTTTTTGTCCCTGAATCAGTCAAATTTAAAAAAAAAGAAAAAAAGAGAAACCGAACCTCTTTACTTTTGAAAGAAAGTTCACTAAGCTTCACTTCTCGTCTCTTTCTCACTTGTCATCACCACTTTGATTTGTCGAATACGTTACAGTTACATACGATTTGTATTACTGTTTCTTCTTTTATTTTTCCCTCTTTGTGGCATTTTATTTTGTAGGTGTGTAATTTTTTTATCTTGTTATTGTTCTGATGTGTTGTTTTTCTATTAATTTTTTTTGTTGGGGAAGAAGGGGGGGGGGATGTTGTATAGTGTAACGTCATTCAATTTGACCTTCATTAGATTCTAAATATATTCATGTATATATATAGATTTAAATGTGTTATGTTAGAGCGTTCCACCAAAACCGAGTACATGTACTGACACTGGCAGGCCCCTTGTGTGTGATTCCATAATTTACATGCAATACCCTGTGTTAAAAAAAAATTACGCACATTTAGCCAATCTTCTTCGGATAGGCGGACACACCCCCCTTATTTGTTAATTTTTGTCGTTGTTACGGGCTGTTCTAATTTTGATTTAATTCTGTAGTGAAACCTTTCTTTTTCACGTTTTTACACTCATCTAAAAATCTCTAGACTAGCTCTTGAAAATTGAAATATAGATCTAGAATCTAGACCCAAAAATTTGCTCCTTCCCAGACCTCGCAGAATGGCAGAATGAAAGTTGGCGCCGAACTCTCGCAAATAGGCAAAAAATAAGGAGACCTGAAGCCGGAAACCTCTGGATAAATAAAGATCGGCACTATTTCTCCGAACGTTCGGAGAAATAGTCACTTCGTTAAATAATTGGAAGGGAACAAAAGCTCAAAAAAGGTGGAAGACAGACAACGGTAAATTTAAAGAAAAGGCCCAAACCCATTTTTACGCCAGCTTTTTGTACTCTACTTACGTTTTTGTTTCCAATTGAGTACATAGATTAGATCTATAAATTTGTTAGGCGTTATAGGTTAGGACCACTTGTCCCAAAAGTGCCGTCCACTGTTATTTGGGTACTTTTTTTCTAGTGAACTCGCCACACGTTTTTCAGCTGTGATAACTTCACTGTGTGACGAGTAATTACTGGTTCCCGCTAGATCTAGAATCTAGATCTAATTCTAGCTAGATCTAGATCTAGACTTTGGATTCTAGATCTGGATTTCTTATGGTCACTGGCTGGTTGTTTGAAAGTGGGGGCAACAGTTTCGCACTCTAGTCATGATAGAGTTTTTGTGTTTCTTGTCTGTGTTATAATAAATAATAAATAGCATTTGTATAGCGCATATTCCCCGCTCAACAGCAGGCTCTATGCGCTTTACACTATATTATTACCCCAGCAGACCATAGAACATTCCGAAACATTCTCAGCTTCCCGGGAAGCATACAGTGCAAGCAGCTGATTAAGCGCTCAAACACTAACAAACTGACAAGATCTTTCGCTGTCTATAGCCGGGTACCCATTCCCACCTGGGTGAAGTGAGGAAAATTCGTGTAAAGTGCCTTTCCCAAGGACACAACGTCGGGTCCCTGACGGGATTCGAACCCACGACCTTACGGTTGCGAGTCCGAGAGCCTAACCACTTGTTGCAGATATGACTCTTCTGCATTTTGTTGCCTCTGTATTTTCCTCGGTAACGAGTCTTCAATTTGTCTGCCAAAAAGAATGCGTGTCGGAGAGGGCAGCTTGTTGTCAATTGGTGTAGTTCTCAAAGCTAGCATAGCCTTGTATGGATCTTGGTTTGATTCTAAAGCTTTCGCCAGTCCATTTCACCAATTTCACCTGGCTTTCAATGTATCCATTACTTCTTGGGTAGTGAGGTGAGCTTGTTTCATGTCTGAAGTTGTATTCTTCTGAGAACTTTCTGTATGGGGATCCACTGAAGTGGGGCCCATTGTCGGATCTAACCACTTTTGCTATTCCTTGTTCACTGAAAATTTGCTTGGTGAGGGTGACAATCTTGTGACTTGAGCTTTGGTTCTTTGGGATTTTTCTCACAAATGGGAATTTTGAACAGTAGTCACTTTTAAGGAGATACTCTTCTCCTTTGAGATAGAAAAGGTCTGTTCCTATCGTATGCCATGGTCTTGGCGGAATTTCTGTTTGTAGTAGTGGTTCCTTTTGCTGTCCACTTTGGTGTTTCTGGCATGTTTCAAACTTCCTGACAATGTCTTCAATGTCTTTGTTAATATCTTTCCAGAACACACTTTCTCTTGCTCTCAGTTTGGTTTTCTCTAACCCTAAGTGAGGTTCATGCAGTTTGTTCAGGACTTCGGATTTCATCTTCTGTGGTATGATGATTCTGTATCCCTTCATGAGCACTCCATCTTCAATTGAGATTTCATCTCTGTAGTTCCAATATAGACGGCATAGTTGTGGAACATCTTTGATATTTCCTGGCCACCCATTGTAGATCGTCTCTTTCCAAGCACTGAGTTCTGTGTCTGTTTGTGTGTTCTTTGTGATTCGCTGGATGTAGTTATCACTAAACTGAGGCAGGATTTCATGGATTTTGATACGTTGTGTTTCCAACGGTTTCGTCTCTTCATTTGACACAGACAGTCTTGACAGTGCATCTGCAATACACATATCTTTCCCTGGAATGTACTTGATGGTGAAAGTGTAAGGCTGTAGGACTCTCAACAGCATCCTCTGCAATCTTGGCGGTGCTGCCTTTAAGTGCTTGAGATGAATGGATTGTAGAGGTTTGTGGTCGGATACCACAGTGAATTCTTGTCCATATAGGTATGTATGGAATCTTTCACATCCATAGACTACGGCCAACAACTCTCGTTCTATGTTTGCGTCGCGTGTTTCTTGATCAGTGAGGGTTTTACTTGCAAAAACCACTGGTTTTCTTTCCTGCATTAGGGTTGCTCCTAAAGCTTTCATAGATGCATCCACCTGGACAGTGATTTCCTTCTTTGCGTCAAAGTATGCAAGCGTGACTTCTTCTGTGATTGCATTTTTTATTCTCTGAAATGCTTCTACATGGCTTGGGGACCATTCAAACTTGCTTGACTTTGTGAGCAGTTCTCTCAGGGGTGCGGTCAATGAGCTTAGATTTCGAATGAAATATCCTATGTATGTTGCCAGACCTAAGAAAGATTGTAGCTCTTTTTCATTCTCTGGAGCCTTCATGTTTCTTATGGCTGCTACTTTTGAGGGGTCGGGTTTGACTCCGTCTAGAGTGACTATTACACCGTAGAACTTGATTTGATTTTGCTTTATGCGGCATTTCTCTGGATTTAGTTTCAGTCCGGTTTCGACACATCTTCTGATCATCTTGTGTAGGTTTTGATCATGTTCTTGTTCTGTTTTTCCCAAAACAACAATGTCATCTGCAATGTCTAGGACACCTTGGCATCCTTCAAAAGTTTGGTCAATCTTCTTCTGAAAAATATCTTGACTCATGTCATTCTTAATCCAAATGGGATTCTCAGAAATCGGAATCTTCCTTCTGGCGAGTTGAATGTTGTGAGGTAACTTGACTCTTCGTCCAACTCCACATTCCAATAACCACATTTGGCATCCAGGATGGAAAAAATACTGTGCACCGGATAGGCTTGGTAGAATTCCCTTTAGCGTAGGTGTGGTGTAATGTTCTCTGAGAATCGCCTTGTTCAAGTCTTTTGAATCCCACTTCTGACACCATGTAAATGATGTTATGTATTCTTAAAATATTTGATCAAAGTCAGACGAACACAAGACGATAGTAAACATTCAGCCATATTGATTTCATAGGGAAGGGAAGTGTTTATTTTCGTATCGAACATCTTCACTATATTCGAGTATAAGTATCGAATATCATGACAAGAACAGGATACCCCTCCGATCACGTGACTACATCTACATCTAAGTATAGCCAACCGCATGACACCAAAGATGGAAGTGTACGAAAATAGCCGTAAAGACGCTGGAGGATTAGATCTAGATCTATCCCCCCCCCCCATCTCCTGCATTCTTCATCACTGCATTCTTCATCACTAATATACATCATTAAAAAACAAACTTCAAAGCAGCTCTACAAAATATTTATAATTTATGGGACTGTTGGGAGGAGGAGAAGAGAAAAAAAAAAATAGTCCGGGACCGGAATCGAACCGCTCCTAAAATTATTGCATGACTTCAAACGCAGACGCGCAGTCTATTCGGCCATCAGAACTTCCAAAAAAGCGAGGTGTAGATTTTAGCGTATTTATATAGACACTTCAATCTTTGGTGCCATGCGGTTGGCTATACTTAGATGTAGTTACGTGAACGGAGGGGTATCCATACATCCTATTCTGACGTAAAAAAAAGATGGGCGCCGTTCCTAACAATAGTTTGCGTAATTCTACATTTAATTGCATGTGGTTCAGGTTCAGGGGGTATGCCGCTGAGTGAATTTTTTATCCTAATTTGAATTTGATGTTTTGCACAGTTAGGTTGCATCCCTGCTCTTTGTGTAGCCGATTTCAAATAGTATTTGGTCATCAAGACTTCTTCTCTGGATGTAAACAAAAGGATCGTGGACTTCAACGAACGGAACTACAAGATCACCACTACAGACCTACCTTCTTCTTTCTGCTGTTGCTTATCCCGGCGCAAAACATTGCATAGCAAAATGAAAAGCAAAACAATAGCACCGACAGCTGCTGTTACAGCAATTAGAGGAATAGACGCTTGCTCCACAGCCATTTCGAGAACACTGGGGTCAACGCTAGATCTATTCACAAGGTAGCAGATCTAGATGTAATTTAGTAGCAGAGTAGACTGTGTCACACTGTGTTAAAGTCGGTCTATATTGTCGTCGTGGTGCAACTGCTAGTAAAATTTACTTCCGGATTTGAAAACGAAAGTAACATTTCAAAACATAGCTGTTATGCTGAGGAAACGACAATAAACAACCAAAACTACAAGTTGAAAGCTTATCAGGTATAAAACACTTTTTAAAAAGATTAAAACACTTCAAAATGGGGAAGCAGTCAGACTAAGTTAATAAGCCATACACTGAAAAATCAATGAGATGTTCCATTTCCACCTTGTATTGAAATGATCCTTCATAAAAGAAGCAAAAGTGATATAATGATATGTGGATTTTCAGGTTCCACGATATTCTTTGGATTCGTATGAAACATTTCATGTATTATTTTGAAAAATAGCCTTAACGGAGAAAAGGAATAATATTGTGTGGTTCCATTGAAAATTTTGATTAAGAAAATTAAAACAATTGCTGAACATGAATTTTCAAAATAATAAGTTGAGATTCTAACAAATTCTCCAGCGTGGGTGGATATAATATACAGTAGAAAGCAGGAGCAGCAGAAGAGTTATTATTTTTTTTATTCTATTCTAATGTTCATGATTTGATGAATAATTATATTACTTTATGACCACTACAAATAGTTAAATTGAAGTAGCCCTTTATTATACTACATGTGTTGTGAAGAGCTGTCAATAAATAAAAAATTAAACTATACTATGCATGTAGGTGTTCCAATGTATTGTTTGCTTCAAATTGCTTTGTTCTAGGGCTTATTATGTTGTTAACACAGTCCAAGGTACAATAACGGAGACGTTGGTTTTGGTTCCTGAACTGAACTTAAAAAATTCTTTGAATTTCGGATGTGAAACGGCCTTTGGTATGTTAGCGCATGCCACCTTTGTACGGAGTTATCCTATCAACAAGCGAATTTTTTTTTCAACCATTTCCTCCCATGAAGACTTACTTCCGGTCTGTGCGAGCAAAGCCAGGCAAGCCACATTCAAAACAATGTGATTGTAAATTTTCACATTTACCTTTTCCTTCGAGAATTTGAGAGTTGGGTACTTCGCTAAAGATTAAAAGAGGTAAACTGTACAAATTTTCCTTCATAATTATGTACGTCTTATTAGCATTTTTGCGAAAAATGCAATCGTGTGTTGGAAGTTCGTGTTGGTGTAGGCATTACTCGACTTCACAACAATGCTGTCTGCACTTCACAACACGGTCAACACTAGATTCTCAAGTTGACTCAAGAGATCTAACTACAGACACAACGACGCAATGGCGCGGTACAGTCGTGGCTGCAAAACAGACAACTGTTTATACCTTTTTGAATAATGTATTGTAGATCATAGACTGGAAATAGGCCAATTCTTCTTGGAAGTGGCTTCTATTCTCATCCGGGGTGAGAATGAATAGAAAAACGATCTACCTCTCACCCCGGGTGAGACTTGCCAGCGTAAGCTATTCTCACCCGGTGCGAAACAAGACCTGCTTTTCCTCATTTTGGAATACTGTCTATCAGTGTGGATGATCAAATTGATAAAAGCCAAGAAAAAATTACGTTATAGCACAAAAGTAAGCTAATTTGATCGTCTTCAAATTGACAAAGATGCTATGGCTATTTCACTGTTCGAATCGAGCCGAACTACGCGGGTCGCCATTTTGTTTTGCCCGGAAGTTCTCCTAAGATCTACTCCTCCCCTCTCTCTCTCTCTCTCTCTCTCTGTCTCTTTCTGAATACTGTCTATCGGTGTGGACGATCAAATTGACCAAAACAAAGTTAAAAAATGATGTTAAAACACAAAAGTAAATTAATTTGGTTGTCTACAATGATGCTACGGCTATTTAACTTTTCGAATCGAGCCGAACAACGCGGGTCGCCATTTTGTTTTGACCGGAAGTTCTCGCGCTACTCCTCTCTCTCTCTCTCTTTCTCTTAGACCTGCATGTTTGCCGACAATCGTCTGAAATCCGACAATCGCGACCCGACCCGACCCGCGAACCGGCCGATGCTATCGCTAGGCCCGCCTGTATCAGTCAATGTGCGTAGTGCGAGGCTTGGCCGACTGCCAGCGACCCCTTTTTCTCCCGTCGGCTTTGTCGGCACTTTCGTTTTCGTGCCGACCGCCGACGCGCGCACCGCCGATTGCTGACGTCGGCGTTTCCGACATAATTGTCGGAACCTGAGTAGAAATGCGAATACGAAAAAGGACGACAACCTAAATTATCTACTTTCAGTTTCGTGCTCGAGCGGCCATTTTGAATTTCGTTTGTTGACTAATTTAATTGTTCAGATCGTGTGGATTTATTCAAGTCCGACTCTCTTGTTCTAATAGGATCTAGATCTAGATTTATATAGATCATTATAGACCTCAATGGAGGATTCATGTTCCAATTCTATTGTGTCAAACCCTATCATAGGTTGTGCTGTAATATTAATGTTGGTAAAAATAAGCATTTCATCAGGTGCGTGAATTATTTATTTATTTAGATCTAGAATCTAGACTCAGCTGAGTCCCTCTGTTCGGAATCGGATGCGGATTTCTAGTTCAAGGCCTATCCTATTCCTATCCACTTGTTCTACAAGATCTAGATCTAGATTTATTTAGATTACTAGATTCTAGATCTATAAGGAGGATTCATATTCCAATTCTATTGTGTTATTGTATCAAACCGTACAGCAATGTAGATGTAAGCCATATTGCCATATAGATCTAGATCTAGATCTAGATCTATATATGCTCCTTGTTTGTTTTGGAGTGTGGTTTTTTAATGTTAATTTTTTTTTCATTTAGGACTTGTTTTGGCCTTTTTACATGAGGCCTGTTGCAGGTTCTTTTTGGGGGTGGGGTTAGGGTTAGGTCTCTTCTTTATTGTGTTTGTTGGGGTGGTCGCTCGTTAGTCGGATGTCCTTCCTTATGATACCCACAAAGGCTTTTTTTTTGGGGGGGGGGGGGGGGGTTGCGCAAAATTTTCAGACAATCTGGTTGAGGCTCACATGCAGGTCTATTCTCTCTCTCTCCACTGCCCACAGTCACAGACAAAATTGTACGCTTTTAGTAGGCTACAGTTGTAATGGAACGTTTGTTCAAGGCACAGAATTCTACAATTTTTCTGTTATCACAGTGTAGAATTCTGTGGTTTAGGGTGAAAGCAAAATTTGTTGGCCTAGATCTCGGCTATAACGGTGAACGTGCACCGGGTGAGAATAGCCAAAAGACTCGCCTGCACTATTCTCATCCCGGGTGAGAATAGAGGTGGCCATTCTTCTTATAGAAGGCCACCTCTATGCAGGCGAGTCTTTTTTCTCACCCAGTGTGCGTTCACTGTTATAGCCTTGGCCAACCAGTGTAGCGTTCACCCTGAATCACAGAATTCTACACTGATAACAGAATTGTAGAATTCTGTGCCGTGAACAAACGTTCCATTACTACTGTTAGCCTAAAAGCATGCAATTTTGTCTGTGGGCAGTAGAGAGACTAGAGAGAGAGAGGACTCAGGAGTAGCGCGAGAACTTCCAGGCAAAACAAAGTGGCGACCCGAGTAGTTCGGCTCGATTCGAAAAGTTTAATAGTTGTAGCATCTTTGTAGACGACCAAATTAATTTATTTTTGTGCTTTAACATCATTTTTTAACTTTGTTTTGGTCAATTTGATCGCCCACACCGATAGACAGTATTCAGAAAGAGAGAGAGAGGGGAGGAGTAGATCTTGCGAGAGCTTCCGGGCAGAACAAAATGGTGACCCGCGTAGTTCGGCTCGATTCGAAAAGTGAAATAGCCATAGCATCTCTGTAGATGGTCAAATTAGCTTACTTTTGTGCTATGATAATAACATAATTTTTTCTTGACTTTTATCAATGGGAGTGTATACAGACCCGGTAACCAGGGTTGGTGATTTTTTAAATTTTTTAAATAAACATTTAAAAAATCGATTTTTTGGATTTAAATCAGATTTTTTGGATTTAAATCGGATTTTTTTGATTTTTTTGATTTAAAAAAAAATGTCGACACAGTTTGGGATTTTTGGTGGCTAAAAGTATGTTCTTTTAGTGCAGAATGCATTGTCTTTATTTTAACTAATGATTAATATAAAAGCAACTGCGAAAGAAAGCCTTCTGCTATTATCAGTGAATTATGGCTACAGACAAAAAATGAAGAAAATGTCAGTCTAAAAGGAAAGGGGGGGAGGGGGTAATTATGCATAGATAAACTTGTATTTTATTACAGTGTGTGTGTGTGTGTGCGCGCGCTTGTGTTTGTCTAAAAAGAAAAAGAAAATGCTAATTTCAATCATGAAAAAAAAAAGTAAATTGAATACTGTATTAATTTACTACTTACAGTGACAGGGGGGAAAGCAGACTTGTAAGCATGATTATATTAGTCTAACTAAACCTTATATCTGTTTTATAAAACCAAGGAAAGGAATTCTGAATGTTTAAAGACGTAAATACAATACATTTTTTAAAAGTGATTTAAATCACTGAGTTTTATTTTAAAAATCAAGTTGATATAAATAAAAAAAATCAACTGATTTAAATCGACTTGATTTAAATCAACCCAACCCTGGTTTTCAATTATGAAAAGAAAGAAAATTGAATACTGTATTATTTTACAGTGACAGGGGGGGGGGGGGGGGGAAGCAGACTTTTAAGCATTATTATATTATTAGTCTACTAAACCTTATATCTGTTAAATAAAACCAAGGAAAGGAATTCTGAATGTTTAAATATGTAAAAACAGAATACATTTAAAAAAAAGTGATTTAAATCACAAAATCAAGTTGATTAAAATAAAAAAATCAACTGATTTAAATCAACCAAGCTCTGATTTCAATTATGGGAAAAAAAAGTAAATTGAATACTGTATTATTTTACAGTGAAAGGGGGGGGGGGGAAGCAGACTTTTAAGCATGATTATATTAGTCTACTAAACCTTATATCTGTTTTATGAAACCAAGGAAAGGAATTCTGAATGTTGAAATATTAAAAAACTGAATAAAAATAAATTTTAAAAAAAGTGATTTAAATCACTGATTTTTATTTAAAAAATCAAGTTGATTTAAATAAAAAAAATCAACTGATTTAAATCAACCCAACCCTGCCGGTAACCGGGAACTAAGTCACGAAGTATACAGACCCGGTAGGGGAACTCTTTTGTGAATTCGGAAAGTTTCAGCGCCCTCTTGGCTCAGGTTAGACCTAGACCTAGGTTCTTCTAGATCTAGATCTATGGCCTAGGACTAGATAGACAGACATAAATCATTGATCTAGTTTCGAGGTTAGCCTAGATCTAGATTAGATCTAGATCTAGATCTCTAGACCTAAATGAAGATTGCGGATGTCTTTTCGATGAACGGTCGTTTTTCCTCCGTTTTTTGGACTTGGAGGAATCACAATTTGAAGAAAAGAACAGTGTCATAATTTCAATCGAGCAGTCTCTCTCTCTCTACTCTCTCTCTCTCTCTCTCTCTCTCTCTCTCTCTCTGTATCGCTCCGCATTCTCTTTTTCTTTGTTTGTCTCTGTCTTTCTTTCTCCCTACCTATCTTTTTCTCGTTTCCCTCATGTTATCTGGGGCATGTCATATTTTGCTAGCACTTTCCCCTGCTCTCTCTCTCTCTCTCTCTCTCTCTCTCTCTCTCTCTCTCTCTCTCTCACACACACACACTACCGGGTCTGGGCGCTGAAACTTTCCGACCTCACAAAAGAGTTCCCCTACTGGGTCTGTATACTTCGTGACTTTGTTCCCGGTTACCGGGTCTGTATACACTTCGTTTATCAATTTGATCATCCTCACGGATTGACAGTATTCTGAAATGAGGAAAAACAGGTCTTGTTTCACACCGGGTGAGAATAGCCAACGCCGGCAAGTCTCACCCGGAGTGAGAGGTAGATTGTATTCTTATTCTCACCTCGGGTGAGGATAGCCACTACCTTTATAGAAGGAACTATCCTCACCCGGGGTGAGAATAAAAATACGATCGACCTCTCACCCCGGGTGAGACTTGCCACCGTTGGCTATTCTCACCCGGTGTGTAACAGGACCTGTTTTTCCTAATTTCGGAATACTTTCTATTGGTGTGGATGATCAAATGGATAAAAGCAAAGAAAAAATTACGTTAGCCTATAGGCCCTATAGCACAAAAGTAAGCTAATTTGATCGTCTACAAAGATGCTATGGCTAATTCACTTTTCAAACTACGCGGGTCACCATTTTGTTTTGCGCGGAAGTTCTCGCAAGATCTACTCCTCCCCTCTTCTCTCTCTGTCTCTTTCTGAATACTGTCTATCGGTGTGGACGATCAAATTGACGAAAACGAAGTTAAAAAATGGGCCACCTCTATATAGCGCAGGCGAGTCTTTTGGCTATTCTCACCCGGTGGACGTTCACCGTTATAGCCTAGGCCAACCAGTGAAGTGTTCACCCTGAACCACAGAATTCTACACTGTGATAACAGGATTGTAGAATTCTGTGCCGTGAACAAATGTTCTAGATCTATTACTACTGTTAGTGTTGGTCTAAAAGCGTGCAATTTTGTCTGTGGGCAGTGGAGAAAGAGAGAGGACAGTTCGTTGTCCTGAAAGGGACAGTTGGCCTAGTCTGAAGAGAAACTGCGTGGGGAGGCCTCAGCTGAATCGTCAGTGCCCTGGAGTCTGTGGTAGGCCCTCTTGTAGTCCTTCTGTGAGTGGTACAGCTCGAAGCATGGCACGAGGCAGAGGCCTACATTGCAGTGGACATACTCAGCTATCGATTCCTTCCTCACCCAGGGGTCCGACCGTCACCCAGGGTTTTCCTCTTTCCAGTGTTGGTGGTGCAAACAATGCAGAGTCGAGTGGCAGGTCTGACCTTTTTCCCTGGATGCTCTAAGGTGCCAGCACAACAAGGGACTCTGCTGGAGAAGTGCCTGGCTGTAAGATGATGCAGTGAAGAATCTCCAGGGTGGAGGCTAGTGCGTCTTGAAGGCTTTTAAGGGATAATCTGTCTCGCCATCGCCTTGGCCAACTCATGCCTGAACATACAGGGACTGATGGGCTGTGCAGTCGACTCCTTGTACAGCAGGTAGGCGTTGAGCTCTGCTAACATAAAGAAATGGAATAAAACCTTCCTTCACCACTTCAGCGTCTTCCGCTTAAAAGAGTTGTATTGGACCATCTGATACGACCTGTCAACAGCTCCCATAAACCTGTTGTAGTCCTTCACCTCATCAGACTTGATGATCTGCTCCCCGGTGGCTCTCAATCTGTCAGCCGGTTCCGTGTTGCTCATACTTCCAGAGTGGATGTATGTCAAGATGTTGATCCTCGCGTCGATCCATGAACTTGATATGATTCAATGCTCTCGTTGTCATAGCTTTACTTCTCCCTTCTTCTTCAACACCTTCTTCCCAGCCATCTCCTTCGACAGACCTTCCTGTTGAGCCTGACAGTGGCGCATGCTGCTGTCTTGTTGGTAAGAAAGTCTGTCCGCAGTGTAGAAATTATTGATGTATAGTCGATGTCCACACCCCAGGAAGGGAGACAGCAGCCTCATCATAGTGTCGTAAACTGCTCCCTTGGAAGAGGCTTTTTTCTTTCCAGTGTAGACCTTAAACTTGCAGCAGTAAGCGTGCCTGGGGTCACAAAGCCTCGGGAAACAACGTTTTGTGTAAAAATTAAATAGTTTGAAAAGCGAAAAAAGGTGTTTGCATTGAAAGATATGAAAGTCCTATTTCCTGAATGTCCTTTCGAGTTCCTCAAGTGTCTAACTAGATCAAAATGCTCATATTTCATTGGATGAACGTCTCAACCGACGCTCCCTTATAAATCTCTACCAACGCTTCGCGTTGCAAAACAACGCAGAAAGTTCCAAATGGACACACGGCTAAATTTAGACAGCGAGTCCATTGACACTGAGACTGCTGTCCTGGCTAAAGAGCTTAGCTAACAGTGGGAAGGAACACCACCTGGCAATGAAGGGGTTAAAAGGAAGAGTTCATAGTATGAACACAATAAGCTTAAGGGGGCGTGATACTTACGGGACAACATTTCTAATAGAGACAAACTGAAACAACTTTTGTCTCAGTCTCAGGCTGTAAGTAGGAGACAAAAGATTCATTTTCAACTTTTGACACACCCAGTTCCGTAAGCCGTTGCCATGGAATCTGCGGCCATCCAGAAAATTGAATAGAAAATAGGAGGCATTTTTTCTCCTTCTCCATGTCTACAGTTTTAAGATTCTGTAACTTGTTAAGTGTCTCAAATAAATAGGTACTTGCAGCTGGCTATTTTGATTTTTGATACTATACTTAGAAAGTATTCAACATTGTTCTCAAAGTTGGGGGTATGGAATATGATCTTAACAAATTTTTTTTTTACCTGAAAAAAATTTGTAAAATAAAATTCTACAGCAAAATGTAAAAAACTAACCAGCCACTACAAGTACAAACCAGTTCTCTCACTACATGTCAAATTTCAAATCTGTAGGTTGAAAAATACAAAAAAATAGTGTGGGAAAAAACCTGCATGCAAGCAAAAAAAGTGGTGAAAAAATTGTGTTTTGAGAAAAGTTTAACATCGGAAATGTTAGTACACAAAGTAGAACCCAGTAAAATTGAATTCTGTTAAAATGTTAATCACTCAACGACTAGTATCGATATAATCAAGACTGAATGAGGGATCAGAAAATACCAAAAGTAAAAAATGCTCAGAGTGAGTGAAAATCAGTCCCCGCGTCCCGACCGGCAAGCCCCCTGTAGTTTTTTTCTGCTTTAGTATTAACTTTGCAGTTTTCGGGACAATTGTCTGTCATTTGCAGCAGTTAATTGCAGTTAATTGAGAATGTAATAACGTTTATCTTTTAAAGAGAAAGAGGTGTTGTGATGAAAATGCCAAAGATAATAGTCATAGTAGTCTTTAAAAAAATTTGATTGTTACTTTGTGAATGTATTCCTGTGTGAAAGATCAGTTATAATTTTGTTAAATTCTTTTCAATGTTTACTGATTGGTTGTAAAGTTAAAAATCTTCAGGTATTGCAAAATGTTTCTGTCATGAGCCTGTCAGTGTTACTCTTAGAAAGAGTATCCTTATTGTATGACGTGATCTCGTGTGTATTGATTATAACTTGCTAAGCTTTGTTGTACATGTACTTCCTCAGATTCCTCAATAAGTAGAGGCCAACATCATACCATGAGCTTCAAACTTCATGCTCCACAACTTGAATCTTCGGACAAGGGGAAAATCTAAGCAGTTTTATATTATATTTTTTGTGGACATAAATTTAGTGGGCAACAGAGTGAAACAGCTACATTTCATCTCACCAATTATTCAACTCATTGATTCCCTCTGCTGGGCTGCAGGATGCTTGGCCTTTGCTGGACACCAGCTGCGGTTCAAGGGATGCAGAAAACTGTAAGGAATCCACTGCTTTTTATTTATGTGCCTTGTAACCTAGAGGCCCAGATTTATTTTGAATTGTTGATGTTTGTGTGAGTTTGTTGGGGGTGGATGTAAGGGAATAAATTCTCTGTAATGTTCAAGGGGAAAATGAGATGGTGATTCAATCACAAAGATATGGGTGGTGTTTGCGGTGATGAGATTCTAGATTGTAGTTCTGTCTGTTTAGATACTTTCCAAGAGTGAAGACGGTGAAGTTCTTTGCAAGGAAATTGCAGAAAAGTGTAGCTCCCTAATCAGAATTGTTATTAGAAGGTGACTATTGAGACGGCACTTCCCTCACAATGCCACTTCAGAGGTTTTAATGCAAGACCTCAATTTTACTATATTTTTTCCTAACATGTTTCAGCAGAGGCATGGTGTGCTTTAATTTTTGCAGGTGGTGTCCAAGAGCACCTGTTGTATGCCCTACTTCTCTACTATCCGTCATTTTGTTTGCTTGCCTGTCTTGCCTTACTTTCTGTATCATTAAATGACCTTTGTTATTTCAATGATAAAATATATGCTTCTATTTGACTCTGAGATAAGCATACAAGCCATAACTTTAAGAAAGCAAACAACCGTTACGTGCTGCAATTGTAGCTCCAGACCCACATCGCCAGCTTCATTCTATTTTTGTACCAACACTACTTTTTTTTCTTGTTTTAATGTGTGCTACTTTGAATGCACTTTGTTCTAATTGCAAAGATGAGAGTCAGTACAAAGTGAAACTGAAATTTTATTAATTGTTAATTTTATTTTAAATTTTATTAATAGCAGTTTTTATTTTGGGCTCAATGGGAATAAATTTGACAGTTTAGACAAAAATTCCCACAAGTCAGAAGAATTTTAAATTAGAACTAGACAGGTCTTAGCTCACATCTTGATGACAGTATTTTTTAAAGAGAAGGCTCTCCTGAATATGATATGCCTTAACACTCAAAAGGAATTTAGATAAATATTGTCACTCAATGTCAACATACCAATGTGCATATCACAAATTAGTAAAGATGTTTGCTCGCACAATTTGTATCATGTATAAATCTATTGCAAAACAGTGTGAACCCAAAAACTAGCTCATGATGACATTTCAAGCTACTGTCAGCTATGTCAAGATGTCAGTCAATAAACTGGCTACCTGTAAAATTAAACATTTTTACATTGGGAGCCTTTGCATGCGACGAGGATGAAATGCTTATTCGAAACCTTTTATGACATCTGTTCATAATCAAACTAATGCTACTTTATTTCCATTGAGTAAGTAGATAAAAGGTCATTATTTCAGTGTCCTTGTTTCTCTCTCTCTTCCAAGGCGAGCACTATGCCTACCAACCCTGAGCAACTCCTTGGGGCTATTTTGGTCAGACGAGATATCTTCCAACGATTTGAGTCCACAATGAATGACACCTGTCTGGATGCAAACAATTTACTGGAGTATCTGTTCTCTCTCTATAACAGGTGAGTCTGTGGCCTTTTGTTTGAACTCTGAGCAACAAGAGCTAGCTAGACCCATGCTCTAACATTCACGATAGATTTTCCGAAAGAAGTCTTTAAAAGTCTAGGGGTCCAGTTGGATAATGATATGGTATATCTATGTGTCCTCACAAGTTAGCCAACTCAGCAACAGTATCTCTTATTTTCAGGTTTAGAAAATTGACAGTGTGACTGCAATGATTTGATCAGAATTGGAAAACTTATACGGTTTGATGGCCGAAAAACTGTTAAAGTTAGATCTACGAGAACTATACATTTTTTTTATACATGTACATATATATATATGACATTATGTTTTACGTACATTTATGTCCATTAATTTTTACATTTATGAATGTAATGGGCATTGAGCAGTTTTTAGAAAATTGAAATGCACAGCATAAATGCTTTTTATTGCATAGATCAGTCAATGTGTACAAGTATGTGTGATCTGTGATGGAAGGGCAGATAAACATTGCCAAAAGTTTAAAAAATGTTGCAAAACATTTATGATAATTTTCAAGCTAGATGATATTTTTTGATAGACTGTCCATGAGCTGAAACAACGAATGTTTGAAATGGCAATTTTGAAATACAGCAATTTCTATAGAAACTGAAATTTAATATTCACCAAAAAAAAGTTTCGCAATTCACACAAAAAATGTTCTCTAAAATTCCTTTCATATCCACATAGCATGTTTATATTCATTCACTTTCCTCTAAATGGCAATAATTTAGGATGTTTTATAAGTTACAAGAGATTCCGCCATTTCCCTTTCTGCGAATTTGATCTCTTAATTCAAGAATGGGATGTTTCAATGACAGCAGAAGGACAGTCGCAATGAAACTGAAAGTGGATAAATCCAGTTCCCTCTGTAGTTGCAGTATTTACACAAAGTAGGCAGTACTTGGGATTGGATTATAGCTTGATCTGTCGCAATGTACATCATGGTGATTTATTTGTTCACTGACCGTACCTTTGAAATCTGCATTCAAATATGTAAAGTATCTTTTAGCACTTATATGACCGATTTGTGATTCAAACGCCATAAAACTCGCACTAAAACTAAACTTTAAAAGTATATATACCTCTATCTTTCTTTTTTTTCTTAATGCGATCCTAACTCTCGAGTAATAATTCTATTTTTCCTTTCAGTACTGCCACTCCTTCTGAGAGGGAAAATTTCCCAACTCCTCATCAGATCTTCCGCAATGTCCGGAGAGATTCCAACCACAACAAAAAGGCTTCCATAAGAATGTCTCCTCAGTTTGAACATGCCCATGCTGCGAACAATCGCCTTCCACAAGCTCCCCTAGGGTCTAATCGTGTTCAGGACACCTCGAGATCGCATCAAACAGGGCTTATAGATTCCCACCATCAGAGGAAAAGACAGAAAATGGAGCACCAGGGCTTTGAAGGAGCTCAGAACAATTATGGACTCATGGACCCAGCAAAGTCCATTGACGGCCACCCTGTGTTTCCTGGAATAAACAATACATCGAATGCTGGCATAAAGATGGAGTTGACCCCGGATAATGACGCTGCACATGCACAGTCATCGTCTCCACTCCCTCCATTCAGTCAAATTCGAAGGCACGGCACACCTTACAGTCCAGGAGCTTCACAGTTTGCAGAGAATTTACCAGTTGTGTCCACGAGCACTCCCCTCAACAACATTCGCTCCAATTTCACGTTGGATGCCCCTTTGGATCAGAGTATTTCAGAGGCTAAGGTCAACGCAGAGGAAGTCGGGAATCAGAGCGTAGAGGGGAATGAACAGTTCTCTGGAACAGGTGAGGAAGCATAGGTTGCATCATGTTGACATGTTCTCACGACTGTGGTTGAAACTTTCTGCTTCTGGGGTTTCTGTCTATGTCTTACTTTTAACCCACAACCAGATGACCTTTAAATTATCCTGCCAATGGGCTTCTCTCTGCAACTTTACGTTTTTAGCTTATTTTGAACTTATAAAACATTTCTGAAACATCTTTGTTTCCAGTCTGTTTTGGATATTTTGAGTTTGTTCAAACTTGAGTTGTCGTACTTACAGTGTGTAATAATTCTCCTTATTTCAGGTAGAGAGATCATGTAACATTCATTTGCAGATGGTCGCATCATTCACCTCCTGAATTTCGTTTTGTTTCGATATTAATAACAGCACCGAGAGACTACTTTTCTCATGCTCATTTCCTTGCTGTCTGCAGCATGTTCATCGGGAGGTGACCTAAAGTTGATATTTGTCCATGACTTGATGATGATTTTATTGGTGTAACTGGGTTTTTTCAAAGCTCATTCATAGATTGGCAAGAAAAAACTGTTCTGTTAGTTAGTTCAGGGATCCTTTATATTTAAGAGTGATTTCAATTTTCAAATGTTTTCGGCACCATAGTCTGTATTTTCCTGTCCGTTTTCCTCTCAATCTACCTCACATTCACCCTCGCTCACACTTTTTGATTATCTTTATTTCTTTATTGCTGTACCCCTGTTGAATTAATTTCTAATCACAGACTTTTTATATAGTAAACTTTGATTTATTTGTTGCTTTGACTACATAGGAGGATAGCTCTAGTTTTGGCAGATTAGCTCCATCATCCTTGAACTATGTCAAGTTCATTGCACTTAGTCGCAGAGCATCCAGCATGCTATTGAGGGCTGGGCTGTAGAACCCAAGCCACTGTGGGCTCATGAGTATTTTGCTTGCAGGGACTATGCTGGGATGTTGTGGGACAAGTCCAAGTTCTGCATGGCAAGGAGGTGTTTGCGGTGATGGTAATGCAGGGTTTTATTTCTCAGGGGGTTTGTTATTTTTGTTAATCCAGTTAGTTTTGAGTGTGTGCCTTTTGGCCCAATGCCATGTTGAAAATGGTGGAGGTCTTCGACATTTGTTGTTTGCTGCAGTGTGGGATATTGTCTGTGGTAGGAATGGGAGGAAAAACTTGCAGCTGGAGGTCTTTTAGTTTGGCTTTCAGAGGAGGGAAGAGTCGAAGTTTCACAGCGATTTGTGTGTCTTTAGAAAATGTTTGGTTCTGCGGGTAACTTATTTCTGTGTATGTTTTTATTACAGCTAACAACAACAATAACAATACCAGCAACAACAACAACACATCAGCAGATGGCAGCAATACAATAATCACAGCAAGTGGCAGAAGAAAGGTGAAGCGGCATCAGTGTTTCTGCGGAGCGTGGTTCACGCGGGCCGACAATCTCAAGAGGCACATCCGCAAATGTCATGAGGAGAAATTAGAAAAACTGTCGGCCGCCCCGTTAGATTTGGAGCTTGGGGAAGAGGGTGGTTCGGGACAACTGGGTGAGTATCCACAAATATTTTCATCATCTTCCGAGCAAGAAGGGACCGGTACACAGAACCAGCAGCAGCAGCAGCAACTGGAGGCATCAAAGGCGCAAGAGGATCAACAACAACAGCAGCAGCAGCAGCAACAGCAACAACTACAGCAGCATCAGCAACACCTGCTGCCCAATCAGCAGCAGATGCACCTTCACCACACAGAACAGCAGCAGCAGCAGCCACCTCATCAACACCAACAACAACAACAACAACATGATAGTCACTGCCTGCCGTCCAATAATGATGATGGAAAGGGTGGCAGCTCGCTCATGAAGTGGGCCTGTTTCTGTGGGGAAAATTTTGAAGATCATCGGCAGTTAGTGGAGCACACGAGGATACATGAAGTCAACTCATAGTTCTTACATTCAGCAATTTCTTGTTTATAGCGTTTGGGTCCGCTCTGTTGTTTGTATAATACTGTAGAGGAGTAGTCGGGTAGGAGTTTTTACAACACGCATATCATTTGATGCCTCTCTTTGTAGTCTACTTTGGTATCGTGAGTTTCCAACGGCTGGAAATGCTTGGGCATAATGTCTATGCCTCAAATTACAGGGGGTTGTTGATGATATTGATAATATTGTGAATTATAAGTGAACTCTGTGGGGCTGCATTTTTGCAAATGCAACATGACAATTTAAAAAGATTTCCACCCTGTTGACATTTAACTTTGTCAGATCAAATAGTAAGTACAGGAATGGTTCATAAGCAATGCAGTGTTTTCAAATATTTGTAGTAGCTAGTTGTGTATTAATGCTGTTGTTAATGTCGTATGAATCCTGCATCAGGCGTGCATTTTACTTACACTTCTTAGAGTGACAACAAAGATTTGTAGTGTAGAATTTCTATGCACATCATTCTCATATATATGTATATTGTTGTCCTGTTTCATTTCCATCTTGATGACAAATGACTTTAATTTTTATCTGGGTAGATGAAAAATTATATTGATTATCGGGCCTTTTACTTTTTGCATTCTGAGTTGAAACACACACATATGATATGTTGCATTTCAATGATGTTATATTGTTCTCAAGGCTAAAACATTGACTTTGCAACATGGAGAGAAGTTATCAGAAGAAAGAATTTTGACTTTGTTTGAGATTAAGATGGTGCTGTTTACTTTGTATCTATCATAATAGTACGTACTTGTGTGAATTGTCAGTGTGATGGTACCCCCTTTTTTGTTGTCTTTCCTCTTGGCAAACCGCACCCAAAATGTGTAAAGTTTCTCTGTCGGCATTTACTCACTCGCTGCTAGATCCAAGAAGCTTCAGGTAAAATTGATATACGGGCGACTTCCATAACTGAAATCCCTCTCGTTCGAGTATCCTTTTTTTATTTACTACTATTACCTGGTGTGTTTTGGGGTCGGTCTTCGAGGGTATGGAACTGCTGTCCTTCATGATTAATTGAGCATTGTTTGAGTTACGTCCCTTGATAACTGCATCTCCCCCCCCCCCCCCAACTCAAAACACATTTTGACATGATGGCAAAAGAACCTCACACTCAAAAAGTTTTAAACTGATGTTCTTGGTTGGAACTAGACTTTTCTTTTTGCTGAAGAAGATGATGGTAATGCTGACCCTAATTATGTCGAGGGTTCAGTGGTAAATACAAGAGGTTAGTGGAAATTTGTGGGGATTAGTGACGCTGAACTTAAAATTTGGACACATTTGCAAAAGGGAAAAGATCATACAAAAGTAATTATTCATGATGTCTTAAAATTTTCTTTTGCATTATAATGCAGGATGTTTTATTGCTTTTTTGCAAGTTAATGGTTGCTGGGTGGTGAATATTAAGGTCTCAGTGATTTTTCAAGTAGGTTCCAAAATGCCTGGTATTCTTCTGACTTTAAGGGATTAAGGGCCTGGCAGTGAGTGAGTGGTTTAATGCACTTGTGTTTGGTTCTCCTGTCGCATGAGGCTGTCTTCTTGTTCAGTTTTGCTGTGTAAAGTGTATCGGAAGTCAGATATATATATACAGAGAGAGAGAGAGAGAGAGAGAGAACATTGTTCCTTGGTTTGTGTATTTCCGTCTACTCTTGCTCCCACAATTCCTCCCGTCAATGACTTCACAGCTGAAATCATCAAGGTTTTTAATTTATGCAAAGGTATGGGAAGAAATTTGCATGTCCTCTGAATAACTATAGACAGCAAAACATCTTGTCAGTTAGTTAGTGTTTTGGCAGTTGGTTGACTGCATGCACTATAGCCTTTACTACTAGTAATATAGATTATGAAATGTATAGATTGTGCTGTTGAGCAGGGATGTTGTGCGCTATACAAATTGTTATTATGAATTATCCACTTGTCCCGGGTGTGAAAAAGTGTCGCAGTGGAAGATCCTTTCATAGCTGCATGTTGAGCAGGAAGACACTGGGCCTGGTTCTGTTAGTCTGATGGCATGGGATTATTGCAGAAAAAAAATTTTTTTCTTCCCGTCATACAGACGAAATTGTCCCAGGGAGTCACCAATTGTTGAGGAGAAACGTCTAAGACTTGTCAATGTTTTGTACAGTGTCGTTATATGTAAGAAAAAGAGCAAGCTGTGAAGTAGTCGTTTGTACAGAGAATTGTCTTATACCGATGGCCATTTATAGTCTTTTTGACTGTACTTTAGGGGGGGGGGTAGCTAAATGTGTCTTTTTAAAACAAAATAATTTGAGCTGTAATTGCAAAGTTTTCTTGTAAAAGTTCTAGATAAGTTAAAAGGCTCAGGGCTTTCATGTGGAGTAGGTTAGGCTTTTTAAAATTAAATTTATTTTTTTTTAGCTCAATGACCTTACGCAGTTGCGAGCACCGTAAAACCTCTACTAAATCAAACAAAAAGCAAATGGTTTATTTGCCGTCTTGTTTGAAGTTGAAGTAGGGTAAATCATTTTGGATGACTCTGATTGATTGTTGAGTGATCACTCAATGGGGGATCAATAGTTTATATCCCCAGCTTCACCCAACTTCAATCGACAAGGCAAATTAACCATGATTTTTAAAAAGCCTATACCTACTCCACCTGAAAGCCCAGAGTTTAAAAAAAAAACATATTTAATCCTCTTACTCTTACAAGAAAAGTATGCTCTCTGGTTCTGATGGATTGACCTCGGTGTTGAATTCTAACCATAGATGTTCCATTTTTCACCAACTATTTCAAGTGAAAGTACTTAGAACATAAAGTGATAGATAGAGGTCGATGTATTTGTTTGAGTGAAGTGAAGCACATCAACAAAATTCTGATAATTTAGGAAGTTGCTCCACATAATTCTCTTTTGTTAAATTGACGGGGGGG